TAACTTGTTCAATAAAGTTGATATTATATTTTGAATGTGTGGTCCAGATTAACTAGTATCATATACAGGCATTTTCTAGCTTTTGAAATTCAAGAATAAGCCTTACCATGAATTTAATTAAACCTTTGAGCTAAAATATTTTCAGTTAAACAGGTAAACCAAACAAACAAACAAAAAAAAAAAACAGTACTTTTTATTCACCTCCTAAAACATGCCATGTTTCAATTTTCAATATATTAATAATATTAGTATGAATGAAGAGAAAAAAATGAAACCATTTTCCCCATAGAAATAGCCATGGAAATTGCTGAAATACCTTGTTCTTGTGAGAGGTGCTGTATGACACAGGAAGTGCTCCTTCAGGAATTGCTGCAGGTCAGGCATGGTGATGTCTGGTTTTATAAAGCTCTGCCCCTCCCACGGAACTTTTTTCCTCTCTCTTTCTAATCTATATCCTTTGAGTGATTCAACATTTTACTCAGACATCACTAAGAATAGAAACGCCTGTTTGTCAGGGCACAGTTGAAGAAATTTGTTGTAACAATGGCATCACCAAGAAACTTACTAATTTGGCAATATCTACATGTGCCTGTCAAAATTCTCCAGACCAAAAATGCTCCAAGACCCATAATTAGGGTCTTCCCCTCCTTATCTGTGCTAATGAGTAATAGGGGATTCCACAATGCATCTTCTGCCTTCCGACTCATTAACCATTTGAGCATGGTTGTGTGAGGCTATGATGTCAGGAGATGATACGGCCAAATTACAAAGATGGATGGCAGCCAAGAGATTTGGAGACACCAAACCCCAGAGCCCTGACAGTAGAGAGTTCCTGAGCTTGGTGAGTTTGAACCACCAGCCTTCTGGTTAGCAGTCAAGTGCCTTAGACACTACACCACCAGAGCTCCTTTTCCTAGAATAGAGCAATTTTATAAACTTGGTCTGAGAAGACAGCATTTTCACATGTCAAACAATTAGAGAACGTTATAAAACGCAAGATGTAATTAACAGCCAAACTGAGTGATGTCATGGGAAGGAGCGAAAGGGCTGAGTGAGTGACAGCATTTCAAGGAAAGGATTGGGATACATGAAAACACTGAAGATTGAAATGGGAGGACACTGAAAGTTCAGGCTTGGGAAGCACAGATCATGGAATGAGTGCCTCCCGAGTCG